CAGCAATATGATAATAAAGCTACTGGGGAAGGTCTTTTCCAGAGACAATATGGACATCCATATCTGACATGGCAGGATTACATACAATAAAATTTAATTGGGGGCAGAAGACTCAGTCAAGCATCGCATGACCAATCCCCCAAAAAAGTACTCCTATGACATTTTACATAAATAATCTGGTAATGCTTATACACTGGTTTTCTTCCTTCCCACAAATCATCTCAATTTTTAAGCTTTGAACTTGCTAAAACTTGCATATATAAAGTATGCCTGTGCACAGGTACTTCTACTGGTTCAAAAGGATGTGAAAATAAACTTGGTTGCATCTTACCCTAATATCTTATAACACTGATTTCTTTTTAATGAATCTAAAATTTGTTATTTAAAAAGTGAAGGGTCTTATCATGTGTTCAGCAAAATCTTCTCTCTAACTTTATTTCTAACTAGGTGGATGGGCAAAATTTTTTAAAATATAATTAGGTTCCGGAGGAAGAATTCTTCACAGTCACCTTGCACTTTCTACCTATCAATAATTGCCGTACACAGTAGGTAGACACCTTACCTTATCTTACCTATTCAGAAAGAGCTGATTGGCATTCAAGACCATCAAGAAAAACACTGCAGTTATTGTAAGTGCATTCCTTTATCCTATGTGCCACACCTACAAAATGTTCACAAAATGTCCACAAATGTTCACAAAATGTCCTTTGAGTTCATTTAATCCGTGACTTTGAGCTCCATCTGCTACAATGCTCACTTAGGACAGGAGAGGTGATGTGTTGTGTGGAGCTACTGAGCACCACAGCCAGATCAGGTCAGGTCACTGCTGCACTTGCACTGCTTCTCGTAAGGCTGGGGGGTCGGGTGGTACCTGTTATAGTAATTCCTGTAACATACATCTCAAATCATGGCTTACAAAAATTTAAAGGTATTTCCATTACAAACTCTGCCCCTAGTTCTTTTGGGCTAGGTTATAGGATTTAACATTGCAACGAACTCCTCCCCTTGCTCCCAGCAACTACTACTTAGTAGTAGTTATCTTACTTACTTAGTATAAGCTGATTGGCAGTCAAGACCATAGAAAAAACACTTCAGTTATTGTGAGAGTAATTTCAAGCTCCTACTTCTGGACATCATGGCCAAATAAAACAGAAAACATTACTGTACTTGATATGCCATAGTGTGTGAACAGGGTGTGGGCTCTGGCTCTCAAGCACACCACAAGTTGTGTGAATCGGTGTATCCATTGTAATCACAGCAAAAAGCAATTTTCCAGCACTTTTCATTTAAACAAAAATTCCTCTGAGAAAGTGGTTTTGGGGGTGGGGCAGAAAATCTCCCAAGAATTACTGAGATGAAAGGATCAACCAGGAAGCTTCTGCCACAGGAGAAAGAAGGCAGGGCTAGTGGGGAGGGCAGTGGGCAGCCTTTGGGGCTGGGGCAGCATCTGAGACACAGGCTCACTGCAGATAAGCCTCAACATTAGCTAGGCTAGTCCTTCTTTCAGCTTAAAGCTGTGCCCTTGCCCTTGTTTACCCTCAGCAGTGGTAACCCCTCCTTTTGAAAGCAAAGGAACAGTTTCAGATACCAGAGGATTTGGAGCAGAGGATCTGGATATTTTAATGTTGTTCAGGCTTCAGTCATCATGAATATCACTTTACAGCTCAGCGCATAAACAGTCCATTTCTGAAGAATGAGAAAATGAATATAATGTAACTACACTGTAGGCCTTCTGGCCCAAATCTCTTCCTAGTGAAACTCTAGGGGCTTCAGTGGAGTTGTGATAAGAATGAACTTAGCTGTCTAGCTGTACTTCATAATACACTATTTCTGATTAAAAGAGAGATTACATGAAGTTAAAGATTTCTTTCTGTAAGTATTAAACCCAAATGACACTCAAACTTATTCATGTAACCAAGTGCATTTTTTATAAACCATAAAACTTTTTATAGATGGAAAAAAATGGGCAACAAAAAGCGTTAACAAAAATAGGACTATTCATTTTATAAATACGAATGTAAGGAATTATCGTATTGTTGAAATGACGTATTAAATCAAGACTATACACTAAAATACATGCTTCTTTTTTTCTCATAGGCCTTATCTTCAACAGAAAGAGAAGAAAAGAGAGTGATGGGGACATAGGTTGTGGGAGGCAGACATGGCCCTGCCACCCCTCAGAGCAGATCACTTCTGCTTGAGAAGTCCAGTTTCATGAGCACTTTTCTAAAAGGAACTTTGACTGTCCTGCTTATTAGGAAGTTTAGAAATAACAAGTTTCACATTTCAAAGTTCAGTCATTTTTGTATTTCACCCAGACAATAAACATGTGAGAAATTTGTACCCTGTGAAACATGTGCGTTTCAGGCACTGGTAGGATACAGCTGTCTCAGTCCTTGTTTACTTGGTTTCTCCTCTACTTCATGCTCAGTGTAAGGATTTTAGAGTTATTAAACTTTTTCCCAGTTGCCCAGAGATACCATCCCTTTACTCCAAACTGAGTAGCTGCATATACAACTGTGTGACAACTGCCCTCCCCGCTTTCTGTGCTTACCTTTTTGGTTTCAGCAGGAGCTCTCTTTTGCCTGTCAGCAGGTATGTCTTCCAGAGGGAATTCCCAATATAAAACAGTCACTGTCGCCCAGACTCGGTGTCAATCCACCTGTATTTCCAGCAATGAAACAGTTTCAGCTTAGTGAGGTGCACCCTTTCCCTGAATATAATGTAGCTACATTGTTACATCACCTGCTTGATGTGTCTTCCTTGGCCAGTTGCACAACAGGAACAGACTCGTGCACTATGCTGTGACCAGGTAAGCAGTCTCATAGAGTTTGCAAGGAAGATGAGGGTTAATGTTTAAACTCAGAATGAGACGCAGAAAAATCCCCATTTAATCATGCAGGGATTATGAGCTCAACTCTTATTGTTTAGGTGCTGCATAAATCTTCACTACTGACTAAGGTCCTGAAAGTGCCCAAGAGGATGGTGCTCATCCACTTGCAGAAGTTTTATACTTAGAAATTCACATTTGTGAATTCATAGCATTACATATAACCTGAGAAAAAGAGGATCAAAGGACTTCCAGGTGCTCACTCAAGGCACAACTGCAATGAAACATAGGAGTTTTAGGATAAAAATGATAGCTGCCAATAGGCATGCACCCAGAGAAGAAGGGAGTTTGGTGATTTGCTCCTAATAACAGCTTGATACTATCCAACAGAGAGAGAATCATGGCAGTGAGGACAAAAGCAAAGGCAGCCACTTCCCAGATGACTGACCGACTCGATTCCAGCCTACTGGAAAGGTTTTTAATGTTTTTAAAGCTACTTTTTCAAGTCACTGAGATAATGTAGTTAAATCTGAGAAAGAATTTTTGCTGTGATGTGATCTCTACTATCTATACAGGTGATTACAACAAATCTATGCATAAGCATTAACTTTGAGGAAGGGATTTCAGATTTATACTTTAGATGCATCTTCAGCATCACCAGCAGAGACATTTCCTCCTCTTCTTTTCAAAGCACTCGACAGAAAGACTCAGAATTGCACTATTAGTTCAGTTTGAAGATGGTCCAAAAGAGCAATTGTAGAACTAAATACTTTTTAAAATAGAAATACTCCTTCTCTTTCTGTTTCTTCAAAGTATCATGAAAGGGACAGGAACACGAACAAATCTAGTATTTTTTCAGACTAGTAAAAAAATCAAAAAACAACACGCAACATCTTGCATACATCACTACTTAAAACATGGAAATGAGGGCAACAGAATGAGTTTTCAGCAGATTCAAATACATCCATTTACAAAAAAAATAAATCCCTTTCCTGGAGCTGTGGTGTATTTGCTAGTGAGGTCTTTGCACTGAGCTATACACAGGTGTAGCAAGCTACAGTCACTGTTTTCTCACTGCTAATTAAGGTGTTATTAGTTTATTAATTTTCTAAATTCTGTCGAATCAAACCATTAGAGGTTGATTTAATCCACAGTCTGCCTCACTATAATGCATTATAAGCACATCAGCTTGAGTTTTATACTACAGCCAGACCTTTGCTGTGTTCCTGCTAGGTAGCTGAGTCCCACTGCAAGTGGGAGGATTTGGTACTTTAAAAAATATAAAAAAATAAAAATAGGACCTAAAGCTTTTAGAGCTTCTTTGTAGGATTTGATTTTTACTTAGCATACATGTTGTATGGATTTTTAAAGCAGAAATGTCAGTTCAAAGCATAGATTCATAGAAGATCCAGAGAAAAAAAGAGAAAAATCATACATTTATTACTCTGCTTCTACTCCAGGTCTGAAGGCCTCTCAGAGGGTGTCAGATTCAAATGCACCTGATTTAATGCATACACTGATCTCTCTCTGGCCTTGCTGACCCTTATATACATGATATCACCTTTTTCAAGCACAGATGAGCAATGCCTTTGGCATCATTGCCACCAACATATTTCAGCCGATTTCCAAGTTGTTCATAAATGTTACTAATGCTCAAAAAGAAAATGGACTCCAGGAATGAATGATACCTATCAGCTGGTCTGGGGAGTGGAAAACAGAAGACCTTTGAGAAAGGAGTTGGACTCTGCAGTGGTTTTGGCATGAGATCTATGAGTGTCCAAGATGCATAACCCCCTGGAGATAGGAAGGTGGGGCACCTGCTGGATGAAGGAAAAATATATCACACCATGTCTGGGAAGGGTAGTAACTCTTTCAATCCATCGCTGTTCTGGTGGATGGGTGTATCTCTTGGACTGGATGGAATGAACAGCATAAGATATAGTAAGGGTGAAGGCCACTAGTGAAGCCTAATCTAATAGTCCACAGAAAACTCAAAAGAAATCATGAGAAAAAACAGCTCTTCTGTCTCTTTTTTAGCCATTTCACTAATCTAGTTGGCTCTAGGAGAAGCCTGGCCCTGATGCCCAGGAGCAGCAGCACATGGACAGATGCATTGCTCACTCCCTCCACATTTGGGGGTGAACTTCTCCATCCCTCACACAGGGTCAAATCAGCCAGCGGGATCCCAGCCCAGTCTGCAGCTGGCCAAGCTCATTAGGTCTTTAGTTGCCAGGAAGGCAGTTGTGACCAGCTGTAAGGCTGATACCCAGTGCAGAGCCTGCCAAAGGTCAGCAGTAATCAGCTGGCCAGCTGCGGGTCCTCCAGGGACTCCAAGGTCCAGCTGAGAGGAGTAAGGAGAAGTGATGAGTGAGTCGAGGGCTCTGCAGAGGAAGAGAAAGGAGAAGGAGGAGAAGGAGAAGGAGAAGGAGAAGGAGAAGGAGAAGGAGAAGGAGAAGGAGAAGGAGAAGGAGAAGGAGAAGGAGAAGGAGAAGGAGAGAGTGAGGGAGGAAGGGAGGAGGAGGTGCCTGCTGTGGTTATGTCTAACTATTCCTGACAAGAAGGCTGAGATGCGAAGATGAAGATGCTGAATTTCCACTGAAATGTAGCTGTGAATTTGAAGTGTTCCTGGGCATATTCAGACAATCAGTATGACTTAAGACCCTTTCATCCTCCAAAAACTAATTACTAAAAGTTTATGATTTTAAGCCTTACCACAGGAGAAAAAAAGACGTTGATCTTTTCCTACAGGCAAAAGGAGTGCTTTTCCGTACAAGCAACTCAAGAAATTAGAACATAAAGCAAGTAGGACTGTTATCTTGATGATGCATTAAAGGGTCTTTTCCAGGTTTCTATGTTAGTTTTGTAATGTACAGTGGGCCTTTTGATCTGAATTTAAAACGTGTATTTCTCTAACGGTCTCTGCTTTTTTAAAGGTTTCTTAAGAAAGATAAAAGACATTAAAAACTACACACACGCACACACAAAAGAAGCTCAGCTGCCTCCCTCAGTCATTAACCAAAAAAAGTATGATTTTCAGAAGTAAAATTAAAGTACAACATTAATTATGGGTTTTTTTTTTAAATTGTAGAGAATTATGCCCTTCCTTGCAGTGACAGATAGACAGAAAACTTGCAGGTCCTGTGTTAAATTCACTATTCTGACACTTATGAGGCATCCTTGTCTGCCTGCCTGTGAGGCCACCGCATGCTATCTCAGAGCCTGAAGCACCCAGCCACATAGTAAGAGTTAGGATAGGTGGAGCTCAGATTTTCTAGACCATCATCTTCTTATGTATTTCTGGGCACTGCCTTCCTTAAATGAACATGTTTCATACAGAACACAAATCTTTTTTTTTCAGTTTCACATCCTATTATTATTATTAAATATGCAAAATCTGACCACAACAGTGTATCTTCCAAGACCACAGCCTTTTATACCTTGTTCTTCCCAGTCCACAGACTAAATGCAGTTTCATGGTGCTCACTTCCATTCCTTATGAGGATTACAGCACATTTTGGCTCATGGGAGCTTTTTTCATAGATGTCCTATAATTAAGATTTTGTTTCCTCGATGTGTATAACAAAATCCACAGATAGTAAACTAGCCTAGTAGGACTTAGGAAGCTATGGACAAACATCCCACAGACGGAATACTTCTCCTCACACTCTGAATAACTGCTTCTCAGAAGTATTGACCTTTTTGCAACTCTTAAAATGTCTGCCAGCCAAAGAGAGGTGTACATTACCAACATGTGATTTGCTAGTGTTACTCTGCATACTTCGTCCAAGATCACTTGCCAAGGTCAGTGCAGTGCAGATTGAAATGTTGAAAGTTCTCCAGCTTAGCTTACTTTAAAATACCATTTAAAATAATCCGCACTGTATTAGGTCTTTGGGAATAATCCGTATCCTTGGGATGGTATTTTGGTTAGGAGGAGCAAACACTGCAGCAATGTGTGAGAAATCATCAAATAAAACTAGTGATGTTCACAATCTTGCATAAAGATTCCTATGAACAGATGGCTCAGGAAGTGATCCCCCATAACCAAGACAGACTCTGTTTGTGTTAAGGCACGTGCATGCTCCTGAAGCATCTGTAATGACAAGAGTGTGTGAACACCTTTTCTGTACCTCTGCACAACCTCAGCCCAGGGTTTTCAAACCACTTTTTCTACTCTGTGATTACCTGGGACATACCTATACACCCAGAAAGCCCATTCTGTAAAGGCTCCTCCTGAAATACTCTGCTGAAAAAAAAACATTTACCTCAAGGTCACACGGCAAGGGCAGAAAGTGATTTTGAGGGAAGCTGTGCACAAGGGGCAGGCTGGCCTTGCCCTATGTCAGATGCACATCTGCTACCACCCAGCTGCAGGCTCAGGCAGGCAGGTAGGTGCCACTTCACTTTCTCTGTGGCCCTTTGTGGGGGACACGGTCCCTCGATGTGCTGTGGGGATGGAGCCATCCCTAAGTTAGGCTTCTTTCATCCTCAGTTCAGAGATGCTGCCAAAGAGCAGTCAGGTGGTAACTTTTGGTGACATGACTAAGCTGGGCTGAGTTCAAGTGAAAGATTTATCAGAGGTGAAATACCACTTCCAGGCCCCTTGGCCACTGACTGCTAGCAACATAAACACAACTGGCAAATACATTCTTATGCCACTCTAGTAAGGCGTATATCCCTTCCCACTCAGAGTATTAATCATATGAGACATTTCTAGATGCACTGAAGAAGCCCGACTCTTCATCTCATCTCTGTCTTTTTACTTTTTTTTTTTTTTTTTTTTTTTTTTTTTTTTTTTTGTGGGAGAGGCAGCTAGACAAGTTGAATTACAACTAAAGGAGTGCAAAGAGCTGAAAAATTTTTATGGTAGAAAGACTTAGATTGAATGCCTGGAAGGAGATACTTGTTAAGTCTGAAACAGATGAAGATTTAACCTGGTTATTTCTAGACCCAATGTAGAGTAATGAATTTTTATCCTGATTGGTAAGACCAAAGTCATTAGGAGCAAATAAATGTATATTGCTTTCTGAATATTGTGAAATACACCTCATGGCTTGTGAAAAAGATATATGTGGTTTGTTCTTACTAATTTTACTAAATTTGTCTCTGCCAGAGAGTAAAATTCCCCGTCAGAGGATCAGAGCTATATCATACAGTTGTTTTGAGAGGAGAGTCACCATGCAATTTTAGGGCCAAATCCTGGAATACACAGTCAGTCTTTATACCCAGTCAAAGAAACAAGAGCTTTACTGGTGTGGAGAAAGGAAGAAGGGGAGGGAAGGATAGAAAAATAGGACTATAAAATACCACTTTTACTGAAAATAAATATGACTTTGAAATATCACTTTTACAGAAAATAAAAGGAAACTGTGCCCGTAACAGGACCTCTAATGGGAAAATTTAACCCTCCACATTTTTGTTTCTCCATGAGCAGTCTCAGAAGGATATGCACCGGTGAAGTGAGAAACAAGTTCCTAGGCCCCAGCCCGGCAAGACGCTCTATCTCCCGGCTCGGGACCGCCGTGATGAGGCGGGGGCAACCTAGGCTGGGTGACGGCTGAACAGGAGTGCAGGCGGGAGCCCCGCAACCGGGTCTCGCTGCCCTCCCCCATACCAGGGAATGCAGTTAAAGAACCAGTCGGTCAGACAGCTCTCTCACAGCACGTTTTTATTTGCAGCGGGGTTTCCAGGGTAGTGCGTGTGTCCCGAGCCCCGGGGTCTGCCTGTCTCAGGGATATCCCGGGCCGGGGCCCGGAAGGACKCTTTGCCTTCAGCCCCAGAGAGAG